TAAACACAGTAAATGCAGAAGTTATAATATAGAAAGGTACATGCAGCACACAAACCCCGTCCCCTCTCCCCAAAACACCACACAAAGCAACAATGTCAGGAAAGCAAAGACAAGAGAAAGGAAAATAATCAGTCAACCGAATAAAGCAAATAATTCTCCCTACCATGTTTCTAACACAGGTTACTACTGATCAAGTGAAAAAAGGCAGTACTTTGCCTCCTTCCTCTCTGCACAAAGTACCTGGCATTTGAAATCCCTGATGGGAAAATACCTTGTAGATGACAGGAGTGGAGGTTAACTGGTGCCCACAATTATCCCATTCAGTCTGCCTGCCTGGCTCTTCAAAACTGCATTCCAACATCTCACTCTCATTTTTGTTGCACACAGAAGTGCACACAGTGGGACAAATCAGTGTAATCCAATTTAGCTAGAAAGCTCCTAGAAGCCTGAGCCAGGCAAGAAGACTTCTAGGTAATGCATGCCAGCAAAACTAGGAGAGGAGAGCCAGCTACCAGCAGGGCATATTTACACTAAGAAATTTTCAACACTCACATGGAAGGTCAATGGAATACCCTTTATTTACTAAATCTGGCCTGGAGGTTATACAACTCTGGCCATCACCATAGAGCCTGGTGAAGTCAGGTCTGCTGTTTTGAGGGTAGATGGCCCCTCTAGGATCATTGACCCCTCACTTCCTACTCAAACAGAAGCCATGCCTGAGGCAAACATTTTCACCCTTCTTGTCTCCAAAAAAACCTATGACTAAAGGCAAAGACAGTTGGAGTACAGAGCATGCCAGGGCAATGCTGGGTTCTACCAACATCCAGTTGCCCATTCCCACTTCTTTAGTTAATGACCCAGCCTTTATTATGGTTCTTTCTCATTCTCTTGTTACACCCCATTCCCCCAATTGCGGATTGAACCTAAGGCTGACACATGCTAGGCAAGTGCTGTGCCATTGAGCTGCCTCCTAGGCCTCCAGTCTTTATTATTGTTAACAGTAAATTGAATTTCCTGATGCCCAGGTAGCTTGGCAAATTCCCTCTATCTGACCTTGAAAAACATTCCTCTCTTCTACCTCTCAGACTGAATGTTTGTTATGGGCTTCCAAGCTGAAACACATTTTGAATCCAGGCATGAAGAGCAGGGCATGGGGATTGGGGTTAAAGACCAAAGCAAAGCATCTGCTAAAAAACCCATGAGGCAAGTCACTTAGGGACAGACATCATGGGTGGCATGTAGAAAATTCTCAAATCCAAGTTAGGACAAAAATTTTTCTCCTTCCCAGGTTAACAATTTAGAACCACGAGTATTTCCACTTACATGACCCTAGCAAAAAGATCAATAAAAAGCAGCACCTCCTTTCTTACACTCATGCCCAACTCTAGGATGGGGTTGACCTTGGACATCTCCGGCTACCTAGCAGACCCAGCTTTTGGGGCTTTGCTGCTGTCTGCTGAAATGAACTGCGAGCTGATAATATAAATCCATGTGGTCCCTTAAGCCAGGCACAGGTTACATGCCTAGAAATGTAAGGGTAAGTACAGAACACTTGAAATTTCTTTTCTGAACATTTTAGTAGTTTTTAGCTTTACTCCATTATCCTTTTTAGTTAGAAACAAGTGGCAGAAAGATTCCCTGTCCTCCTACTCCCACCCTATGAGGGCTAACACTGTAAATACTAGGAAACCTTCAGAAAATGGGCTGTGGGCAGATGATTCTTGGTTGGTTACTAGAATTAAGATCAGTGGGCATTTAGGACCCTGAAAACAGCTTCATTTTCTTCCAGGATTCTAGATAGCTCCTGTTTTATAAGTTGCTGGTTTCCCTGATATTCCTGAAATGTAAGAGTGAAAGCCCTTATTAGTGTAAAATGTTATTTTATGGGGAGGACTTTATATAGGTAACACCTCCCTCCCAAGGTGCTGGACAGAGTACTTAACCCACCTCCATGGGTAAGACTCAGTTGAGTCCAGAGTTGGGGCTGGCAGCACCTTGACAGGCTGGGGGCAGGGCATAGTCTGGAGTTTTAATCCCTATGAGAGCATTCTGCTGGCTCCAGACACTTCCCGAGTAGCACGATGGAAATTTGGCAAGTAATATAAGATACCTAACAAAGTAGATACATTTTCTAATGCTAACGGAGAAAAAAGGGTGGTAGGACTTGAGTAAATACCGAATAGTTTCTCTGGTGTGAAAAACTGAAAGTGTAAATAAGGTTCAAATGATATATTTGATAATGTAAAACAGGAAGAAAATGGCTAAAGGGGAAGTGGGGAGGGGAAAGAAAGGGAAAAGAAAAAATGTGAAAAGAGGAAAAAAATGGAAACAAAGTCTTTGTAAATAGGGAAGGGTGATGGGGTGAAGGGAGGGCAGGGCTATGAAGAACAAAGGACCAAGATACATCATGTAAAGGTACAAGATCCCAATGATAAGTGTAACTGTATTGCTTGCTTTAAATGCACCAATAAACTAATGGGGGAAAAAAGGGTGGTGGGGATCCAATCTAAACCAGTATGGTGCTGGCACATCTGGATGCACTTGCTAAATGGAGTATTAAGGGTTTGGACTAGCAGCATTCATTCAAATAGAGTAGGCAAAAGTGAACTTCCAGAGAAAGAATAGTTCTGTTTTGTTTTAATCAGCAAATTCTGGACACTATGGATTATCCTTTTCGTAAAGTAACTTAAAACCTAGGACTTAACATGTTGCACTAAAAAAAATAGCAATAGAAGCAGCCAAATCATGGTCTAGTCAGTAACTGGATTATAAATTCGTAGAGGGGAGGGGCTGGGTTTGGCTTCACGCCCCAGTGTATACAGGTACTTCCTGTACTTGGATAAGCTGCCTAGCTCATGAGCATAAACCAAAGGAACTCTTCTAAAAGAGCTTACCAATTCCACTTCAGATTTCCCCACGAAGCTGGACAGCATGTTTATTTAAAATAAAAACAAAGGAGTCCATGAAATCACATTTCCAGGCTTTTGGAAAGGATGTGGATCACATCAGTACATGCCTTTGAGTGTCTCCATGAGTTAATTATGAGCCGCTCTAAGACTGGAGCTAACCCTGTCAGTCTCCAAGATCCCTTGATTTTGTTAGAAAGATTGGAATCTCATCCTTGGAGGACAAGACTCTGTGCTCTCAGATTCTCTGGATAATAGTGAAATCGTGGGCCAACACATAGGGAAAGAATTCAGTCCTCTAAACTGGAGAGCTGAGGATGACTTGAAGCTAATAATCTGTCATAAGGTCATGATTTTTTAGTATAAACTATATGAATGGATGCAAGGAAACCTGCTGATGTTGTGGCTTTGCAACCTTGGCTTGTTTCTCCTTAGCTCTGCACAAACCCAGCAGGCTGTGTGAGAACAGAGAATCAGCCTGAAGGACAAGTACTGGGATTTGCTCCAGCAGGCCTAGCCCTTCTGGTATGAACCTAGTTATTTCACTCTTCCTACAAAAGTCTCCTCTGAGCAAGTCCTCAACTGCCAACTAGTGACCACTTTACTTTCACTCACAGCCCAATATCTGGCTGCTTTCTTCTCCCTTCTGGTTCCCTGGTCTCATGTTACAGGTCAAAAGTACTCATCCTCTCTATGGAGATGGTGTACAGCTTTACTGTTCTGAGCCAGTAGAAATGCATCATGCAGGAAAAGACAAATCTGAAATTACCTCTCACAGGCTAATGAACAAGAGGTGAGCCATTAAGCATATACTATTTAAACAATTTGGATTTTCATTTATGACATTGCTTTATATTTCTATCTACAAGTAAGATCCAATATTAAAAAACAAAACACTCTTATAAAAATGCAGAGTATTTTTTTTTGTTGTTTTTTTGGTACTGGGAGTCAAACTCAAGACCTTGTGCTTGCGAGGCAGGCGGTGGCACCACTGAGCTAAATTCCTGGCCCCAGAGTATACTTTTTAAAGCACTGTAAAAACATAATTTGATTTGTTTAAATCAGCACACATAAGCAAGGCACAACTTGCTAAGTTAAGTCCCCTGCAGGGCTCATCTTCCAAGACTTTCCAAAAAAGTTCAATTGAAGGTGGCACCCCAGAATGACAAGATGGGACCAGAGGAGGTAGATACAGCCTTGCTGATCTTCAGGCTACATCCTTGCTGGAAAATGGAATCCAACAGTTCAGCAGCAGCAGGTCCTATTATCTACAGGGTTTTTCGTTTCCCAATAGGAAGAGTAACACTTACATTAACAAGTGTTAAAGGGGAGGGTAACCACACCTTGTAAGGAAAGGCTCCCTGAGGCAAAGGTACCTTTGGAGACGGTTTAGCATCTTAGCATTCTCCTGAGAAAGATTATTCCTCAGCAGAGCCTGCTCTGTGTTGCATGGTCCCAGTTGGCCCAGCCAGAAGCAAACACTTGTCCTCATTTCCTCTCCCATTTAAAATCAGGGCTTTGGGACTGGTGAAGGGAGTAAAAGAACCAATGATGAGTGACAACTACTACTCAGGGGCTAAACAGCTACAGTGCAGGTACCATGCGATACCTGGATTCTGTCTATTAGAGCTCAGACCATGAGCTCACTTGGCCAACCATCTCCATGAATGGGGTATGGGGGTCTAAGCAGAGGAACTGACTGACACAGCATAGAAAAGAGGTACCCAAGCTGGATCAGTCAATTCTCAGAGCAGCAGCTGCAGGGAGTGAGGGAGCAAGGCTGCCCCTTCATCCAGCTCTAGCTGGGGCATCTGCAACCTTCTTTCTCATAGCCTATGCTTTGCCTCCAGTGGGACTTCAACGGAACAACTAATTAAGCCTGGGATCAAAGCAGATGATCTGAGAGATGTCACGGATCACCTGGACTTCAAGGCACAATGGTGAAGAGGAAGCACAAAGCTGCACTCGGTATTTAACATGCAAATCAGAAATCATCGCAGGCTGAGACTGGCTTTCACATTCTAATAGAAATGTGAAAATGAACTGCAATCTGCTATATGGAATATTATATCTGAATAAGTGACTCTGAAAGACTTTGTTTCCTTGCTTATTTGGGGTAAATTTTTAATCATTTAAGGTCAATTTATAAACACCTATATAGCCTCTCACTCTCTGGCCTTGACAGCATTTCCACCCAATACACAAATAAAAATCTAAACAAAATTCCAAAGGGGGGGGAACAATGAAAATAAAAAAATGTTGAAAAGAAACACAAATCAAAGAAATTTATTGGTGTTGACAAAAATACATACTACAAAAAACACAACATAACACAACAGAAACAAAAGCAGAAACCCCACCCCAGAGGGCCCATGTGCCTAATATACTGACACTGTGCAGTCCCAGAAGCCCCAGAGCATGGCACTTAGTTCATGAGGACTTCCATCTGCACCAGCCTTGCATTGGTGTCCCCAGATGTCCGGTAGGGTATCATTCCAGCAAAAGTAATCAGGGCTCGTGCTTGACTCCGGAGTTGCTGAGAGAAAGGGGGAGTAAGAGGAGAAAACTGGTTAACTTCATATCAGGGCACAGAACCAAGAACTATGTCACATTCTTGTTTGCTACCCTATGGTTTCAAAGAAAGATCCTGGTGGGCAGACGACAGTCTTACCCCTGCAGTCTATTCCTTCAGCATCGTGCAGGGTGAGTGAAGCTTGCCCACTGGAGCTCCATTCCATGGGCATCAAAGCCAAAAACTGATAGGCTTACTAAGCAAAAGGCTGACAGGTCTGCCAGGGGAGCTGCCTTGCTCTGGCACATGTGACTAACTCCTGACAGCCCTGAACTTCCACGGCTGCCTCAGAAGGAAGGCAGTTTTCTGAGCCTCCCTCTCTCCTGCTTTCACAGGGATCTAAGTTCCTGGGGCCCCATGAAACACCTTCAACATAAGGCAAAGGCTGGGACAGCGTACAATCCTACTTCATCTCATTTCCTCCTTTCCTTGCCTTTTCTGTCCCTGATATATGTGCTATTTTTCCAGGCAATAATATTTAGCAAATTCCTGTTACTCAGCCATAAAGAATGAGAAAATAGATTCATTCATAGGAAAATGGATACATATTGAAGATATACTCCTAAGTGAAATAAATAAGGCACACGTGTGTAAATACCAAATAGTCTCTCTGGTGTGAATAATCTGCAATAATACAGAAGATCCTAATAAGATTACTGACATTGAGAAATGGGAAGAAAGGAGCTAAAGGTGTAGGGAAGGTGGGATGGGTAGGGGAAGAGTAAAAAGGGAAAAGAAAAAATGTGAGATAATGAAAAGATGGAAATAAAGTGGTTGTAGATGGGGAGGGGAGGAGGGGGTGAAGGGAGGGCAGGGACAAGGGGAAAAAATGAGAACCAAGACCTGTCATGTAGAGGTACAAGATCCCAACAATGAATGTAACTGTATTGTATACCTAAAATGTACCAATAAACTCAATTAAAGCTGAAAAAAAAAATTTAGCAAATTCTTGGATGGTTCCAAGAGGAAAAAAAGATAGCCATAAAAATTTAAAACCATCTGTTTTCCATTACAGAAGAAAATACTACCTTCATTCTGTTTTCCAAGTGATAAATTATTGAATACAGAGTTAAAAAAAAAAAAAAAAAAAAAAAAAAACAGCTTCAGATGATTCCTGGAAGGACATCTGAAGGTCTGACATCCTGGGGTCTAAGGCTTCAGGTTGCCCCACAGATGCTCATACCAGTAAGGAAGGAAACTGCATCTGGGTTAGATAAGGAAAGTCTGTAAACACCTGTAACAAAACCTATAAGCACTGTTTTTTGTTTGTTTTTGAGACAGGGTCTTACTATGTAGTTGAAACTGACCTGGAACTCACTATGTAACCCAGGCTGGTCTCGAACTCATAGCGATCCTCCTGCCTCAGCCTCCCGACTGCTGGGATTACAGGCATGTGCCACCAACTGTTAACCATACTCCTTGAGGTAAAAATTTCTACAATCTTTCACTAACAGACGTCACTATGGAGAGAGCTCACACACAGCTCTGGAGGCAGAAGGCAGGGGTTCTTACTACCAAAATCAGGTGTGGCTGTTGGACACTGTCCTGAGAATCTCATAAAAAATTAAGTGGAGGGGCTGGGCATTTAGCTCAATGGTTCCAGCACTTGCTTTGCAAGCGCAAGGACCTGAGTTTGATCCCCAGTATCCCTCCCGCCCCACAAAAAGTGGAAAAGTTAAGGGAAAGATAATTTTAAAAAACATCATTGACCATCCTGCTTCATGGTTTAAATGGGTCAAACAGACACCTTTACTCTTGTCAAATGAACTAGACAACAGATGCTGTGAGTCCCAGGATTCTATCTATCTGGACGCTGCTTGACCCAGGTACTGCTGGAGGCCCATGGGCAGTAGAAAAGGCTCAGGCTCAGAAGTCAGACAGATCTGGCTTCCAGACATCACCCTGTACCTATGTGTACCTGAGGGCCCTCCAGGGCAAGCAAGTTAGTAACCACTTCCAGGCCTTAGTTTTCTTAGCAGTAAGATGGCTATAAAATGCTGACCTAGCTTTCTCTTGTGGGTCATTGTGAGACTCAGAAGAGAGGAGAAACAAGGGTTTGCATCAAATTAATGTACTGACAAAAATAAAATACACTTTTTAAGAAAACATTCACTCGTGGGATGAAGCTCACAAAATAATCTTATATAGCAATTCCCTGACTTATCAACATTCATGTTGTAAATTTTCACAAGTGTACTGTATACAACTTTGTCAGACTTGGATATGAATCTTATGAATGTTCTCCCAGAAGGAACACATTCGTAAGTCAAAAACTTACTATATTTTAAAATGAGCAAAAATTCTTGTGGATTCAATGCCAAATTAACATTGTTTGATTTTTTTTTCCTAAAAGCTAGTATTTGTAAACTTAGCACATTCTCTTTTTTAAAAAAAAAGCTTAAGAAGAATAGCAATCCTATTAATGTCTGTTATCCTCAAGGAGCTCTTGACATTAAGATATACTCAGATGCCAGGTCATCAGAGAAAAGAACAGTTTCAGGTCATGTGGTCTCTTAAGAATGCAATGGATTCCAAACCAGTACGGTGGTTCTCAGCAATGTTTCTTGCAAATGCTGAGATCTTACAGAGTCGCGGTCCTCCATGACTCGCTGGGGCCTGGATGCTGAGGATGGACTTGTCCCCTTGAGCCTCTTGAATTGTGTGAACAAGATGTTCATGGTGGCGAGAAGCACCTGTGAGAGGTTGTGCCTGATCTACACAGAAAAAAACACACCAAGTAAGGAAAAACAACAAACCACTGGGGTCAGCAATGTGGAGGGAGGGTGACCACTCTAACTGGCCACACTATACCCAAAGCTACCAGTGGAGAGCTGCAGTTGCCAAAATCAAGCTGATGGCACTGTAATGACAAGTGTGACAGCAACCTCTGGGCAGTGCTACTCAGTAGTCATTCTTCCTGTTCCTCTTGGTAGAGGAAACAAGCCAAAACATGCTAACAACATCTGGCCAGCACACAGGCTTAGACTGGCCAGCAGAGTGATTACCAAAAGGCACCTGGACTTGAGCATCAGGAGGTAAGGATGCACACACTAGTTCTTCACAGTTCCAAACACACCCCACTGCCTCAGACTCCTCTGGCTGTCTCCACTGGCTGAGCCCTTGAAAGTTTGTAGAGAGGCAGGCCCTGGTGCACTACTTTAGCCATAGGGCAATTAATAATATATGCAAGAGGGCCGGGGATTTAGTTCAGTGGTTCTGCCTCAAGAGCGCAAGGGCCCAAATTCGATCCCCAGTACAATAAAAAAAGAAATCTAAGATAAGTCAAGGAATAACAAAGGAACAAGTGGCAAAGGGTAAACTCCACAGCAGGGTTAAAGGTAAGGTTGGTAAGTGGTAAGCCCCTGATTCAGGGAATCCCTCCTCATGCACAAAAACTGGCCATGTGTCTTTCTCTAAAATAAAAACATGTTTTCATAAAAATCATTTGCTTAAAAAGGAACTATTAAGCACCATAAAATTAAACTTAAATGCCATCAGTGATATCCCAGAACTAGGCAGTATTTGTATATGAGAGAAAATTTTTCTGGATGACTAGGGGAGGTTCAGGCTGCAGCTCCCATCAGGGAAAGGAGATTCTTGGGGGACAGGGCCTGCACATGTAGAGGTTTTTAAAGCTCTCCTAGCAATTTTAGTGTAGAGCCCAGCTGAGCACCCCTGGATTATGGTGGCAATGAGCTCAAAATCCTGCAGACAATGGCTCTAGGCACATGGGTAGCAATTTAATTCAGCATCACTGCACTTACTACTTTGGACAAAACAGCTCAGGGAGAGGGAAGGAGGTTGTGAATCATGATGTATGTTTCTTGCACCCATTGGAAATACAGAAGATCAGTATTAAACATTAAAACACCTTCTAGTACAAGTGGACAACCGAGTGAATTAGATCTCAGAGGTCCAGTCAGAAACCTATTTCTCCCAAGAACATGTGCATATTCACAAAAAAAACCCCAGCATATCTGAAATTGGACTCATCCTAGAAAACTCAGCCTGGGTGATTACTGTTAACTAAAACTCTTACAGTTATTAGCCATATTAAAACAAAAAGCTTTCAGTGGAAGTGGAGAAAACAGAATTCCATAACTTAGGAAGAAAAAAACTTACTTCATCGCTGAAATTTCTGAAGGCAGCCACTCTCTCTTCCACACTTTCCTGACTCAGGGGCACCAGCTTCAAGCGCTCAATTATCTGTTTAAAACAAACCACCAGGCACCGGGAATTTAGTTAGCTCAATGGTTATTCTGCCTGCCTTGCAAACATAAGGTCCCGAGTTCGATACCCAGTACCCACCCCCCAAAAAAACATAAAACAAAACCACCACTAGCCCTATGTTACATAGCCTTCACTGTCATGTCATCTTTACTTAACATAACTGTCTGCATGTAAGCCATTCAGAAAGGGCTCGGAAAGGGCTCCTTCACAGAAAATGCTATTCCTCTTGTATATACAAAGGCTTTGATTCTGACTTGCTAAGCTGATTTTTATCCCTATTTTCACACACAATTTTAATATTCAGAGGCTTCAAATTACTGAGAAACATTTGTTTTCAGATTAAAGGGGAAAGGAATAGAAAAAAGAAAAACAGCAACATGGAAATCCCCTTTAGGTTCCCAGGATCATAGTTGTCCTTCTTAATTTAAGATGCATATTAGTGACACTTCCTTTGTTTTAAATGAATTCCATGAGGCATTTTGAATTTTCAAGGCTATACATTAACCTGCACTTCAAACATCCCTTCTGAAACTTACATCAAAAGCTCTGTCAATATGACCACTGTGATACTCGTCAAAAAAGGTGATCAAGTCCAACAGAAGATAGAATGTAGAGTCCAGAAATTTATTTGCACTTACACCCTGAGCCCTGTACCTGAAAGACAAAAAGAGGGTGTTGGAGGGAAGCAAGGATGTATTATGAATTTCAGATTGTAATCCACAACTGTGGGATGGCATTTTAAATAAATCAGAACCTCTTAAATTCTGGGGAGGGGAGTTACAGAGTGGAAAACTGATGATTTTGAAATGCACTGATGGTAAATTTGCTATTAGTCCACCTACAAATATTTTGTATGAAACAAAAGAGCCTCAGTCTCCAAATCTTTAGAAAGGGCAAGAAGTGCTGAAAGGCAAAAAGTCCAGCAGCCAACAGTAGAGATCATTTGTTAAGTGGAGATATATCACTTGCCAAAGAATGTTCTTTTGTGTTAGCCCAGGAAAACAACTTGAATGTTTTGTTTTTGGTAGTACTAGGGACTGAACCTAAGGCCTCTACACTGAGCTATATACTTACCACTTTTTAAAATTTTTGAGATGGGGTCCTCCTTAGTCATGAAGTTGCCCAGGCTGAGCTAGAACTTGAAATCCTCTGCCTCAGCCTCCCACAGTTGCTGGGATTACAGGCATGTGGCACAATGCCCAGTTCAAATCCATTTGTGTGTGTGTGTGTGTGTGTGTGTATGTGTGTGTCATTTTATTAGAAGTGTCTATAGACAGCACAAAAAGGAACATCCTTTGCTTCAGCCTGGGAGTTAAGCCAGCCATTGTGATAACTCAGTGAACTCAGTGGAAGGGGTAGGGAGATTTTACACCACTGTCCACAAGAACACCCCTTCTAACCACCTCTAGTTGGGTTCCTGAGTGCCTGTGAGACAGCTAGTGAAGGCATACCTAACCCTGTATATATAAGGATAATGCCTAGAATTAAGCCCAAGTGCAGGATTAAATGTACCCTTCTCTTTGGCAAAACTCTTAAAAGTCTGATAGTACAAAGTGAAGGTGATGACATGTGAACTGGGGAACTCCCAGGCACGGCTGGTGGCAGGGTGAGTTAGCAGAGCCACTTTGAAAACTATGTGCTGTTACCAGACAAGCATGGTGAGGGCACATTGGCCTAGCATTGGCATGGGCAAACCTGAGAATCAAATAGAGAAAACTGGGCCTTACCGTTCGGCAATGGAGAGGGCCATGTTCTTAAGTCTCTCTTTATTGGACTGTGGAGCACTGATCTGGGGAACAACAGGGCTCAGCAATTTGTTCATCAGCTCCAGCACTTTGTCAGCATTCTGTTCAAGTTTTTAAAATTAAGGAAATAATCAACAAAAGGGAAAACTAAGTCACAAAAACAAAAAAGGGAACTTTCTCAGGTGATGGAGATATATTCTGTATCCCATGGAAGATTCACTGAGGAAGACACTTATAGTCTCACACTGTACTATACCCTAATTATATCTCAATCTACACATTTTTTAAATTAAAAAAAAAAACCCATGAATTATAACCCTCTTTGTGCCTATTCTTCTCTGATAAAAGCAGAGGATGTGATCTTTTTTAGGTCTAAATCAATGCAGTCATCATATGTTGTTATGTAGAAATATTTATTCCAGTTCTCTCAAAAGGCCCAGCTGTGACATACACTATTCATCAGCATACTGTTGGCTGCCGGAAGGTAAGCATTTTCACCACAGCTTCACCACAAAATGGGACAGATGCTTATTCTGTTGCCAAGTGAGATGACAGTTCAGTGCCTGCAGGATATCCTTTCAATATGTTGCTCTTGTTTGGCCAGACACATCTTATGGGCATAAATAATTCTGTAAAATGGGAATTTCACCCTGACTAGACTGTTAATTGCTTAAACACTAGGAGAAAATGCTTTAGCAGGGACAGCACTATAGTAACAGTGATGCTGAAATGTTTGTGCATTTAATGACAAAAGACCAACAGAGCTATTCAGTGCAAAAGGAAGAAAGAGGCACATTTTACCTTGGCAAGATCATAAAGCTTCACCGCTTCTTCAAACAGTCCTTTATTTTCTGCCACGGAAGCAACTTTATTGATAATAGGCTTTGTGTCACTAGTAAACTTATCTATAACTCCAGGCTGACAAGACAAATTATGGAGGGGGAGGAAGAGAGAGAGAGAGAATGCACAAAGCTATCTATTACTTTCAATACACAGAAACACCTAGGATAAAAAAAAATACTTTAACTAAAAATGCTTGTGCTAAGTAATGCATGTATTTCATCAGCTAGCCCCTGGCCTTCCTATGGATATAAGGCCTTATTAAAACTATGGGAGGGAACAAAAAGAAAACCATGGAAGAGATCAACAAAAAAATACATGAAGAGGCAGTGGAAACACAGAGGAGTAAGCAATAAGACAGTTGTGCTTTTCTGATTTTCCAAAATGACCCAGAGAGTAGGTGAAATTGTCAATGATTTAAAATTTTCTGATATGTAGGAATTAGGAAGAAAAATTAGGGAGCTTGGAGAAAATATATGGAAGATTATAGATTTGGTTTCTAAGACAGATGTCGAAAGAAACTCAGTGCTGATAAAATACATGGCCAGTGGTATCAGGACGTTAAAAAAACAAAATCACCATCACCATTCAATAACTGTTCCAAGACAGTATGAGAAGAGGCCTCAGGAATTGCGAGAGTAAAGATGGACTGTGCAACATCTCTGACCAGCCATCCTGATTCTCCACTAGCACTGGACTCTTAGAGGGGATCAAGTTCAAATGACCTGCCCCTGCCACTCTAGAGGCGACACAGAATACCAGGGAATACCATGGGCTCTAAGGTCAGAAGGACTGGGTTCAAATTCCAGCTGTGTCTTGAGGAAGATAACTAACCTCTTCTATTTCTACTTTTCTTACTTGGAAAACACAAGTGCTAACAGTTCCCAACTGGGTCACTGTGGCAGTTTGTGGGCTGTCATCATCAGCACTGTCAGGCCTCTCTTCTGAGCTGGGCAGTGTAAGCTCATTTTCACAAATGAGAAAAGTAAGTCTCTGAAGGACAAAGGACTTCCCCTAGGCTGCAGGGGAAATCAGGATAACGTCTGGTCTCTGACAACAGAACCTCTGCCTATTCTACTAGAACACCACATGGGCTCGATGAGTCTCAGGAAAACTGCTAAGGCTCCCTGGAGTAACTGCCTTTCTATGGTTAGTGTAGATTTCTAAACCCTCAGAAATTACCTTTTGAGGGAGGTCAAGTGTACTTTTAACTTTTCCAGCTTTTTAAATTTTTTTTGAGATGGGGTTTCACTAAGTTGCTAAGTTGCCCAGGCTGGCTTGAACCTGCAATCCCTCTGCATCAGCCTCCCAGAGTGCTGGAATTACAGATGTGTGGCACCACACCTAGCCCATTTTATTTTCTAAACTAAGCAATTTCATTCAGATTTGCATCAGTAATACTTTGAATCCTAAAATAGTATGCTTTTGACATTTATAAGCCCCCAAAAGCAAAACAACATGCCTTTAGGGATACATTTAACCCACCTTTCTACTCCCATCATTCTGTAGTTTCCCAAGAATCATATCAAACTGTAAAAGAAAAAAATTTACTCAATTTACAGGACAATACACAATATACGATTCTTTGGAGACAAAGGGGAAGAAAAATGGGTGAATGGAAATCTTACACAGACTAGGAAACAGTGGAACAGAATCAGTATCTTCATTGTTAGGAACCAAAGGAAACTCCAAGCTCAGCCCCAAGCCCCAACCACCACCACTGAGGGCAATGTGCAGTGTCACATCTCCTGGGAACACATATTCAGAGAGCTGTGGGCAGGGGAGAAAAGGACACTGACATACCTCTCGACTTTCTATCACAAGCTCACTCACACAGCGTAAAAACATGTTTTCTCCTTGACTATCTTTCTCATCCCTGTAAAGAGATGAGAGCAATTTGGTTTCTGGTATGGACATGGGGTCTCTGATAAGTCGTTCTCAGAGATCAAAACTAGTTGAAGGGTTAGAAGCAAATTTTACCTGAGGAAGTAGAAGTACTGCAGGGCATCCCTTGGATCTGTGGACTCAAATTTCCGGGTATACAGCATGAGCAGTCGCACAAAGTTCAGCCGCCGCATGCAGGGAGGGTCACCAGGCTCACGGCTGACTATACAGTGGGGACAGAATGAGTTAAAACGACACTGCTTCTCTGCCCCACACAACCCAGGAACTATGGAAACTAAATCCTTAGGCCTAGGAGCATCAGCCTGCAATGTAAACCTGGCCAGTCTCCCTCACCAGCCTGTATCAATTTCACCCCATGGACAAGAGTGCAGAGCATGAAACTATAAATGACTAGGATGATGGTCTTCGAATGAAGAATAACACAGCTGGCTGTTAAGACTCAGGCTCTGGGCTGACTGTGCTGCTTGCTAATGAACTTGTGGCTATTCACTTGTATTTACTTGACTCTGCTACATGGTGACCCATGAAATAGCTGGCTGGGGTTTCCAAGACCATAAAAGCCAGGCCCTAGTGGAAACCAGACTCATGGGACTACTTTGTCTGCACTATTCTCCAGGCAACCAAACTGGCCACAAAGATGGCACTTTGTGCAGCTCTTTCTGTATTTCTGTATTCCAGGGAAATCTAACATGGGGAAAAAAGCAAGGACCCCAATCCTAATTATCCACACACCCTAAAATGATTGTCCAAATCCTGAGTGGCTATGATTCTACTGCTGATGGGAATGAGGCATTGTGGTGACACCACTGCCCATCCAGTAGTGAGTACTTACGAAGCTGAGCATTCTGTCCTGATGATTTTAATAGCAGCTTCAGCTCAAATAGCACTAAGGCCACATGGACAGCATGGGGGCGCATCCGTTCCAGGCGGAAGAGAAAAGCAATGGCAGCTTCAAACTGTGCTGTCAGGAACAGCACTTGGAAGTAGAGGAAAGGCTGCTGGTGCACCCTAAAGTGGGACTCACCTAGAGGGTGGGGGAAGATAAACCTGCTCAGAAAAAAGTTGCTAACAGCAGCCTAACCCTACTGGCCTTCCTGGGTGGGAAGAAACCATCAGCATGAGCCTGAATTCATGGGGGCTGGAGGGACACTGGATACATGAAATGCCAGGTGAATGTGTGACTTGGCTTCTCTATCTGCTCCAGACCTCACAAAAGGACTGCCAAGTATGGGCTGTGCTTTAAAACTCAACTGCGTGCCTCAGGTAGAAAGAAACAGAATGACCACAAAGGGACTGTTTATCTCCTGTACCATGGTAAAAGTGACTCAATACAGATAGAAATAAAGATTTCAAAGAAGCTTCAGTTAACTCATATTCACATATCTGAACTCAACAACCACTAACCAATAGCTGGAACCATCTATTCTTTCCGGAATTTTTAAACAATGAGAGAAATAAAAGGACAAAAGATCTTTCTTTTCCTTTGTGCTCAGATATGATCACTGGCAAGATCTGGGAAGGAAGAGTGAAGTCTTGTTTATATGCTTCCCTGAGTAAATGTCTACCACAGCAGTTGAAAGAATTAGAAAAAACTGTTTACTACAGATGACCAAGTGGGACATACACATTTCTAAGGCCACAAGACCTCTACTTGCATTTGAAATGGTACAAATTCAAGAGAGTTCAGAGACAAGGATCTTCCCCCAAGGAAAACAAAGTAGTTGCCTGAAGTGGACAAGAAGGAGAAGGTGGTTGTGTCCAGGATCTTACCATAGTCTTCCAACAACTGTTTCTGGAACTGTGAGAGACTGAGCCTGTCTTGTGGGGAGCTGGTACCGTCGTCATCAAAACACACTTGGTTCAACTAAACCCCCAAAAGAAACACATGCATTGGTACAAACTATATGGAGTCACGTGCACAGTTGTAGTAGCTTAGCAGGCATGCTCAATGCCGGGGGCTGGAGGCTGTGTTAAAGACTATGGCTATTAGATGGGAAATTATAAAATTTTAAAGTAGGCTCAGGAGACAGGAAACCCACTGGTCCTGATCACTTTACTGGCATCAGACATTAAGCAGGGAAAATCTGTGTGGAGAATTTGAGCAGAGAGGAGGGCTGACAACCTGTCCAACAGAGGGAAGCAGTGCTACCTTCAGCCACAGGTAGTCCTCAGTTTTGTCTGCTACTTCACTCTGGTTGTCAGTGACATCGCATCTGCCAATGATACAGTACACAGCCCGCTTGTAGGGGTCTGTGTTGTTCCTGAGGGCTCTGCGGTAATGAAGCCGGAGTTTGTTTTCTGTAGCTGGGGACAATCTAAAGACATAAGGGAACCAATGGCACACACTCAGCAAAAGCCCTCAAGAGCAAGTCAAAGCACCACTTACAGAGTTCGGAGGCTTTCCTTCATCCCAGCTAAGAGACACTGTCTCTGCCCCACCCCTTGAGCACATCCTTTTCACCTGACTTGTAACCACTAGCACCTGAATCTCTACCTGTCTGCTTTCTTTAGTGGCCGAGACCCTCGGGGGACAGGTCAGAAATGCTGGGGTCAGTGCTACACCTCACCCTCCAGCAGACCTCATGCAGTAAAGGACAGCAGTAGTCCTTCCTAACTCACTCAGCCTTCACTGACCTCACACTCAAATCCTTGCCTCAGGATCTCCAACAGGAGAAACCCCAAGACAGTAACCCTACTTTAAACCCTCACATGAGCAATACAGGGGCTTGTGATTTGAAAAACTCTTCTGACATGCCATTAACATTGCCAAGAAAAGTATCCCTCGTTTTGCAGGTACAATTAAAGAAACCACTATTACTTCTTATACATAATATAAACTGGGTTTGACTATGAACTTGTGTCCAATTGCATTAGTAAAACCCAGAGAAAAACTAAGTGTGGCAGCTCCTTAATGCAAGAGAAGTTTTAAAAAGTTCCAGATTATAAAACATCCTTGACGACCCTTAGATTTACAGACTGAGTCAAATCACACTCCCAAGCACACAGTCCCTTGTTATTGGAACAGAGAATTTCCTTAACACAGAGAGAGGTAGGCATGTATAGAGAGCCATGTTAAAATAAAGATGTCCTTTGATGTTTTCGATCAAATTTCTAAGAGTTCTGCCTGCCCACTTTCCAAACTCCTTTTTTTCCTGAGTGGAAACTTATTTTAAGCAAGTGCAGGGAAAAGAAAATGATGTCAGTGGAGATCACCCTCTTTATTCCACGTGGCTTCTTGTGGATGTGCCACTTGAGTCACTGTACCTTCTGTCCTTGCTGTTCATGTACTCCTGGAACCAGGTCTTAAACTCTCCCAGCTGGTGCTGGGCCCGATTAACCACCTGTGAGGCAGCAAGCAAGTCTCCACAGCGCATGCAGTAATAAATCAGTGCCCAAACAGGGTGGCCCTCCACCTCTCCATCCTAAAGGAAAAGAGAGACAAGCTTGAAGTAAACAAAACTAACTGCTTTCTGATGTGCTGACACCTAGCTAAGTCCCTCTCCTTGCATCAAGTCACTGAGGTTTTCACATCATTAAGTTTCCCCACTCCCTGCTTTACAGACAAAGAAAATGAAGCACAGGGTAGTTAAGTAATTTGTCCAAGGCAAGCTAGGAAGTGGCAATGTGGCCCTGGAGCTGTTTCTTGAAAGTGCATGTACCCAATCTGACCTAAAGCGAGCCCTGCACTTTCTCCATGGATCCCAGCTGGCAGTAATCAGATGACATTGTTACGTGAGTATAGAAACACTCCAAAAGTCCCCACAAAGCAAGGGCTAAAGATGTAGCTATGTATACCTCACCATGTAGGTGGTGCACATCTGTAATCCCAGCACTCTGGGGTGCAGAGGCAGGAGGATTACAAATTCAAGCCCAGCTTGGGCAACTTAGTGACTAAGCAAGACCCTGTATCAAAATTTTAAAAAGTATGGGGACTGTAGCTGAGTGCTAAGGCCCTGGGTTTTATCCACAGTACCAAAAACAGAACAAAATGAAACAGACATTACTGACCAAAAAGAGAGTATCATTATCTAGAGTTTATTAAATCTTAACTACTAATGACTAGACAATAATTTCTTATCCATTCAAATGCTGAGTCTCTTGGTGTCAGACACTGCTAGGCACAATGGAACTAAGGTAGCTCGTCCCTACCCTTCCAGTACTGCAGCAGATCTACCCTAAATCTATTTTTGGTACCTGTCTGGGCAGCATGCCTCTGCTCACCCTTCTTGCTCTGTTTTTCCCTAAGTCCTCTAGAGAAGTAGATTTTAGACTTTCTTTTAAAGCCCCTCCTCCCTTTCTCCAGTAACTCTTTCTAAACCCCAGACTGAATCATGACACTTGTCCACTTAAACCCTTTGAGCTGTTAAGTCCTGAGTACTCAGCCTGGCACTTACGGCTTTTGACAACTGGCCCTAAGCTTGTCAAACCCTACCACACATCCAGCACTCCCCCATACTCTTTCTTTGCTGTCTCCATGCACTTATGAAGTTCTCTCCTCCACAGTAGCCTTTCTGAGATCTTAGTTTGGTGAACTGTTTTTGAAGAGCAAGTGTGATGCTCACCTCCTTAATGAAGCCCGCCTCCTCTACATCCACCACCCTTGGAACAAAGCTCCAGTTTAGCGCTCTATATATCACATGACACCTGACTGACTGTAAGATGGATGGTGAGCTAAGTAGGGCTGTATCCTAGAACTCATATGTAACTCCATTCTTCCAGCTGTTTTAGCCGAAAATCTCAGAAGCCATTCCTGACTGTGCCTCTCATACCCACATCCAAGTACCTTGGTGAGTCCTCCCAGCTCAACTTTCAAAACACAGCGCAAACCTGTGCCATGTTCCCTTGTCCTGTGCCCAGGACTCTTGCACAACTAGCCTCTGAAGAGCCTCCCAACCTCCATCCTCACCTCCCTGGTCCCCTCTGCACACGTAACCTCATTTCAACTGAAAATGTCTAAGAGCAACTGCTCTTGTGGAGTAACTGATCATATGAAGTTGCCCTTACCTGAAGTCCAGGCAAGGGAGCCGGAAGTTTAATGTTCAGAAAACTTCGAACCAACTGGTAAGTCCCTGGTACACCACCCAGCTGGGCCTGGTACAAATTTCCAAACACGGTCACGAGAGTGTAATTCTTATAACTGGAAAATTTTAAAAGGGGGGAAAAAAAAGGAGGTTGGAAACTCATATTACAACCATGTCCACATCCATCACATTAGGCTGTGAACTCTCAAAGGCAGGGAGGGCCTGGCTTTCAAATTTAACACAGAGGGGCTGGGGATTCAGCTCAGTGCTTCCACTGCCTGCCTCACAAGCGCAAGGACCCGAGTTTGATCCCCAATACCAAAAAAATCAAATCTAACACAGAGGAGGAAACAGTATATGCTTGTTGAAGCAAACTACATTATTAACCAGTGTAAAGATTTCCCATCACTGCAGATACTCAAAAGAAATCCTTGGAGGAACAGAACTGTGGACTTCAATGTTTTAAGGGCTGATTCGTAGAATATTTATTTGCTCCAGCTCACAGCCCAATGATCTAGTGGGTTCTTTTTACATTTTTTAGTCTTTTAAAATTTCAAGCCTTATAAAAAATGAATAGTTCAATTAATTCCCGTATGCCCTTTATCTAGATCAACTGTTAACATTTGGACGCACATTTTCTCTACATACACATCTATACACATACTTACAAACATGCTTAAAACATTTTTTTCCTGAACCATTTGAAAATATATTAGAGAAATCAGGGGCAACCTTACCTATAAATACTTCATTACTTAGCTCTTAAAAACAAATACATTTTCCTACTTAATACCATTACGACACCAAGAAATTTAACAATAATTATTACTACCTAAAATATTTCTACTATTATGGCTTGAATCAAAAGTGTCCCCCAAATCACTGATGTGTTCAGAGGTGGGGCTTTTGGAAGTTGACTGGATTATGAGGGCTTACAGAGGGCTTGCTATTAGGAGTGGGGGTGTGGTCAGAAGAGGTGAGTCAGGCAGGGCAAGGCCTGGATTTACATCCCTCTGCAGCTCCTTCCTTCTCTTCCTCTGCTTCCTATCTACCATGCCAGGAACAGTTTTACTTCTGCCATAACCCTGTGTCACACTGCCCTGCCTTGGAGCCGGCAGACTGAAACTTCTAGAAACCGTGAGCCAAAATAAACCTTCCCTCTCTTAACTTGCACTTTTTGGGTACTATGTCCCAGCAATGAAGAAAGTATGACAGGTGCTGACCTCTTCCAAGTGGGGCCTGGCTAGGGGAAATAGATTGCTAGGCTTGACTCTTTGGAAGGTATTACCTGTCTTCTGGCTCTCTTCCAACTATCTCTTCTCCTCACCTGCCACAAGCTAAGCAGCCTTCTTCTGCCATGTCACTTCTGCCTTGAAGCCAGAGGACCATGCATGAACTGAAACCTCTGGAACCATGAGTCAAAATAAAACTTTTTTCTTTTTTAAACAGTATTGGGAATTGAACCAAGGGCCTTCACACTGAGCTACAGCTTCAACCCATTTTTCAGTTTTTATTCTGAGACAAGTTTTCACTAAGTCCCTAAACTGCCCAGCCTGAGCTCAAACTTGCAATTCTCCTGCCTCAGCCCAAAATAAAAACTTTTGTTTAAGTTGTATATGTCAGGTATTTGTTTCAGGGATGAAAAGCTGACCTACATTCAAGTTTCTTTGTAATGTCCTTTATTGTTTCTTTTAAGTACAGAATTTAAAAAATTTCTTTTCTTTTTGGATTAAATCCAGGAAATGCTGGCAACTAATTGTCCTGGCACCTTTAGTTCCCTTAAGGATAGTCCTACCACCTTTTTGTCTTTCATGACATTGACTTCTTCTAAAGAACTCAATCTAGCTGTCTGGTAGAATGGCTCACAAGGTGGATCATTTCCTCATGATTCAACTCAATAATCCTACACAGTTCTCACTGAGTAACACTTCCTACTAAATCTCACAATGAGACCATGTTAGTAGTAATCACTGGATCTGACTTGCTTGATTGCCCACCAGATCTTTCCATCACAATTTAATATTATTCCCTTTTATAATTAAGTCATGACTATTCTGTTCACCAATAATCTTTGACTTAATAGCTTTCGTTTCTATTGCTAATCCTTGCTGAATACTGGTTATTATTGAACTAGTGATTGGAAAATAATGATTTTCCATTGTTCCTTTTCATTTATTTGCTCAAATGCATCCTTAAATACTCTGCAGTGTTTGTAAGTGCTTCTATAGAGAGACTAAATAGTCCAAAAGTTACTGATATTCCAACATTTGAATTATAACTGCATAAAAAATAAAACACTAATAAGACAAGGTAATGGGAAACTCTGGATATAAGGTATAGAAGACCCCCTATCTTTTTTCAAGTCATCGTCCAGAATTTCTTAAAGAAGTATGTGTTGTTTTTATAACAAAACTGAAACACAATTTAACAAATGTAATGAGTTCCTTAGTGAAAGTATTTAAAAGCAGAGGTTGGATGAAAAAATACTGAGAACACACAGATGTCCATTATGGTCTCTTCCAACCTGAATTAAGTTTCTAGGTTGAAATTCTTTGAGGGATACGGAATATATATCCTGACTCAAATCTTGGAGTGTGGCAGGAAAGAGATAGACCAACTATATTTTCTCAACATTTTTGGCCTTATACATAAATTTATTTGGGACTAGGTCTACTCTGACATCTGCTGCATTACATCATTTGAAATATTGTATGCACACCGTCAGCATCAGCAAAAACAAAAACAATTATTCTAAACTACTCCCTTTAGGGCCGAGGATTTAGATCAGTGGTGCTGTGCCTGCCGTACAAGGGCAAGGTCTGAGTTCAATTCCCAGTATGGCAAAACCCCCCCACCCCAAAAAACAAAAAAATCCCAAAAATACACACACATAATAAACTAAACTACTCCCTTTATTAAAAGGTGATAATAAATCCTTTAAATGGATGCCATTGGAGACCAATACCACTGGAGTGAAAAAGGAGATAAAGTTATGATAATTGTGTACAGTAAACTCCAAAATAGTGCTGTTTAAGAAATTAATGGTACAGGGGCCGGAGATTTAGCTCAGCGGTTCGGTGGTCTGCCTTGCAAGCGTAAGGACCTGAGTTCAATCCCCGGTACCACACACACACACACACACACACACACACACACACAAAAGAA